TCGAGATTATCTTGTTTATCAGCCATATTGCCTACTTCAATTTCAAGTTCTCTTAAAATTTATGGTTCCCTAAGGTTCCTTCTTTGTTGCCTAAGAGTTCTTTCAAGTAAAGCAATATCAATTGGTTCCGCAAGATGTGATAAAGATGATGATCTACGACCTACCATCAACTATCAAACACAATAATCACAACAACCCTTCACCAATACATCCACATACATTAATCCCTTTCTCCTCAATTCAACAATAATTAAAATAGATTAAATTGGCCACGACAAGGACCTATGCTCTGAATAAAACAAGAAATCGCAATAGCCTTGACAAGGGCAAACAAAGAATAAACTAGGAACTTCAAAAACTTACCCAAAGTCCTTAAGACTTCAATTTTTTTTAATTAAACCTCTTGGATAGTCCTTAGTCCCTAGTAACACAAAAACATCAAAAACATAAAAATATATATACAATCAAACAATAAAGTATTAAATTTTGATTACAAAATAGTATGTAATCCCTGGCAACGGCGCCAAAAGTTGATGCGCACAAATGTGTACCACTTAAAAATACCACTTATAACAATAGCACATTCATCATTACAGATTAATGCTATAGTAGGGGGTTGTCGAACAACAAGGATTGCTAGTTTATGACAAACAGAATTGCAAAATTACTTCCTAATTTGATAACAGAGATGATAGTTTGATTGGCTTATTACTTAACCTACGAATTCAAATTACATAAAACAGTAAATAATGTGATTAGAATGGATTGAACTTATAAAGAGAAGGCTAGGGAATTAACTTCACCTCAACCTCATAAACATGCTAAATTGCACTCAACTTGGGGATAGACAATTATATATATAAAATGATGTGTAGAAGCATAAAACTACCATAACATTGTCAAAAAGATCATACCTTTCAAGACTAAGCATAATCCATCTTTGGTTAGCATGGTTTATCCATCTAAACTAGGTTGTGGTATAAACCATCTTCCCTAGGCATGGCCTATCAAGGTCCTTCAATGGTATGTTGTAGCACATGAAATCAATTAAATATCATAGATTATCTTCAGTTGGTATGGACCATCTACCTAACTACATTAATCTAAAGGTGTAGCATGATCCATCTTCCTTAAGCATAACTTATATAAATACTCAATTACATGCCATTATAACCATTCCATAAATTCTTTCCCAATGTCACTATAGGAAATCAAGTGTATAATTGTGTCAATGTGATTTCTAAGACAAGATAAGTAAATCAACATAATTATATATTCAAATGATAATCACATATATCAATTCAACGTAAAATATATCAATTCAATGTAAATACTTCTAATTTGTGAAACTGAATAGATACAATAAGAATCCCCAAATTGAAATATAAATCAATACATGTTTACTTGGTCTAGGTTACATCAACTCCCTAGAAAGGAAGTTAGCCTTTCACGGATATGGCAGCAACCTCAAGGATTGAAGAATATAAGAAATTCTCTCATTTCACCATTGTTGCAAAGCTTAGCATAAGAATCCTCAGATAATCATCTCCCTCATAATATCTTTTCAAAAACCAAAACTAACTGACTCTTAACAAGCCTTTGCCCCCTCTTTATCCTTAGATGAGTTTCAAAATAATATAACTCATTGAAATTTAAATTTTCACTCAAGATAGAACAAAATCGGACTTAATAAGATTGGGGGCCCGTAGCCTTGCGTCCGGACGCGAGGCCCTGATAGTTGGCATCCAGACACCAAATCCTGCGTCTGGACGCGAGGCACACTCTTGGGCTTCTTCTTTTCTTCTACAGTGCTGGTCGCATCCATCCCTTGTTTGGGCCAATTCTTCTTGAAACCACTTAATGTTTAGGCCCAATATGACTTGTGCTCCAAAAACCCTTAAAACTTTATTTTTATTCCTTTTTCGCAATTAGACCTGCAAAAATACAAAAATATAAAAATGGAGTTAATCTATATACATAAATCAAATAATGGGTTTTACTAATGCAATTAAGGGTGCTTAAATATGCAATATTTGACGTTTATTAATTATATCTTGATACACAACTTGATGATTTTAGGAAAACCTATAAGGACATTGTAATATGTTACGGCTAGGGCATGGCTCTAGTACGGGGGATAAGAGCTCCCCCTACAACATATAGTGCGCACTGGGTGGTTCCCTGAGGACTAGTAACCCTAAAATACCAATATACGGTTTGATTCCAGGTTTAGTGCGCACTAGGTAGTACCTTGCGGGCTAGTAACCCGAGATCAGCTTGCTCAGTTATTGAGACCGTATGTTCTTGTCTTTCTGCCACTACTTGATTTTGCATTCAATTCTAAGTTGTTTAATGTGGATTGATTTATAGCTTGCGATGTGGTGTTTGACATTTCAATTAGGTGTAGTATACATATGCTTAGTATACTTGCATGCGTTGTTTTTCAATACAAGTTAATAGCACTAAATTGTCATAACTTGTTGTTTCCGTAGTTTAGATTTCAAGTTATTAACTTTGATAATCTATGCCTTGATGCGTTGTATTAGAAGTTCTAATATTAGTTAAAAATGCATTGATATTGTAATTTGGGTATTAAATATTTAATGTAGCCCAGGATGATTCCTTAGACTCATTTGGAATATAAACGTTAGGTGGCATGAACCGTTTTGGTTGTTTTCGTATTTTAGGTTACAAGTTAATAACTTTGAATACCTATGTCTTGTTGCATTACACTATATGCTCCTATGTTGTTAAATTACATGAATGATGTGGTCTATGCTAGAAATGCTCTAAGGTAGCTTAGGATGCTCCCTGAGTCTCACCTTTGATATAGACGTTAGGTGGCATGACCATATGAATTGATTTATAGGAACTTAATAAGTTTGTAAAATATTAGGTCTATGCATACTCATCTCCTACGAGTAGCTTTATATTACTTACTCACGTAGTGGGGATATTTTTTAGGTATAGGATTCAAGATTTGGGTCTTTGCATTAGCTTTGGGATGTCTTATAGACTTGAATTATCTATTTCATGAAAATATTAGCATGAAATGCTATTTTTTATTCAAAATGTCAAAACTTGTATATTTGGTTCTAAATATGTAATGAACACCTAAGTGCACCATTTGGGATGCATTTGACATGTGTGTAATAAAGCCATGGGCCAAGGACATTTTATTTGTATTCTAAGTACTTTTATTTCTAAGCTATTTTGTTGAAAAATAGAAAAATGCAATGCTTTAATTTCACTACATTTGCATGGGTGGTGGGAAGTGGGCTTTAGTACTTCCATAGGGTTTCTTCATTTATGTATGAAGTGTGGACAAGGGCCAAACGGTCCTTTGAAATCATTTAATAATTTTTAGTTTCAAGTTTCCTCTTAAAAGCCATTTTAGGCAAAATTTGAGGTTTAATAGGTAATATTTTGTATTTAGTGACCATTGAGGCCGTAGGCCATTCAAACGCGTGTAAATATGTATATTACGTTTGCGTGAATGCTCACCTTGCACAAAATATCACATTTGTATGAAATGGATGCTTGTTGGTCTTAAGTTTTCCGTTTAAAGCATTTTCTTTGCATTTTGAGGTTCAAATAGGTCGTATTTTGCATCGGACATTTTTGGGAGCCGTAGACCACTCCTGCACTCTTAAAATCACTATTTACGTTTACGTGCATGATCGTTTTAGCACACAACACCATTTAGGGTCAAATGAACACTTGGCTCAAAGTTGTCTACCCCTTCTTTTTTTTTTGACCTAAACTGATTTAGAGGCATTTTAGAAATTTATTTAGAAAAATAAATTCTGGCCTTGATATGGTCATATAGAAAACATGATTTTAGGGGGGGTTTCTTCACATCATTTTTTCAGAATCGTCTCGGTCTCAAAATCCCTGCGTCAAATCTAATTTTCTGTGTGCATATGCATTTTTCGAAAAAGTCTGTTATAAGGGCATTTTAGGGATTTAACGTCAAAAATAAAATTTTCTTTCAACATGGTTAGTTTGGAAAAATTATTTTAAGAAGGGTTTCATCTTTGTATTTTTCCAAAAAACGTCGTTTATTACCTCAAAACAGCACACGAATTTCTGCATTTTGCTCTAGTGACTATTCACTGCTGTCAAAACACTATTCACGGCCACGGTGACGTCAAAACTTTGTTTTGACTTTTCTCTTCCACTCGGACTCCGAATCAAGTGATTCTTGAGTCTAACTTGATTAATTTTTCGTTATCTTTCCAATGGTGTACTCAGTAACACCCAGATCTGGTTGAAAATTAATATTTTGCCCTTGGGGGCTAAACTTGTCCGGTTTTCTTTTTAAATTGCTTCCGCGATGCTTTCTTATGAGTTTCGTGACTTCATGGGAAGTCACGGATGTGTCTTAGGAATGATATACATTTTCAGAGACGTTGCTTCCATGTAAAAAGATTGTTTTGCCCTTGGGGGCTTCTTTTGATCTTTTTCTAATCTTTTTTTCCTCGTCGATTCTCGTGGAGTTCCGTGGCCTCATGGAAGGTCACTTTGGCGTGGTAGGGATATTGTATATCCCTAGAGACTTTGTTTATGTTTTCGCTTTTGCATTTCAGATCCATTATCGAGTCAAACTTCAGTTCATCACAGGACGCACTGGTTTGAAAAACCAAGGCCGTCACAAAGATCTTTAATCCGAGCTAAAAGAGCCCAACGTCTTGCTAGAGATGTTAAAGACTAGTACTTCGTAGGGTTTCCAACCTTATTCCTCCCTCATTTCTTGTTTAGTTCTTTCCTGCATCATCTAGATATGTTTCGAGTTGATCATTCCAGTTTCCGGGCAATTTGAATCATTTTCTGCACTTTCAGTGTCACTTCGATCGATCGAACCCTTTGAAATCACAACTTTTCATCTTCCAATTCAATTGATCGAAGCTCATTTGGATCGATCGAGGTAAGTGGTCGATCGATCGAATCAATCGAAAATACGTCTTTTCAAATTCTAAGAAATGGCTTTGGCCGTTGGTCTCCCCCTTAACCCTAATTTTTTATTCTTTTCTTTCTCCTCTTTTCTATTTTATTTCCCTTCTTTTTCTTTTCTTTTTCCTTTTCTTTTCTTTCTTCTCTCTTTCTCTCTCTACCTCTCCCTTAACTCTCGGCATTCTCTCTTCTCTCTCCCCGAAACCCTCTCCTCTAATCTTTAAACCCCCTCAACCTCTCTCATCACACCCTCCATACCTCTCTCACTCCGACGAAGGAAGACTAACCCCCCCGCCCCCCACCATCTCCCTCGTCTCCGGTGACCACCCTAAGCAATGCTATCGTCATCCACCACCCCCATAGAAGTCGGCGAAAGCTTTGGCTATTCGGCCAAGCTTGTTCCCTCTTTCCTCACTCTAATCTTTCATATCTCTCGATCTTCGGCCGATTTAGGCTAATAAGACCCCAATCTCGTCTCCAGTGACCTCTGCAATATCCGGCGAGCTTCCGGCGAAGCTCCGATTGTCTCTTCCGACCACGGTTTGGCCAAAATTCTTGGTCTCTTCCCAAATCTCTCTCTCTATTTCCTCTCCTTATTTACGAACCGGGTATATCATTATAGTTTTATTTTCTTTTATTTTTATTTTAATTTTAGTTCTTATTTTATTTTTTGCATATTTCCATTATGGTTTTAATTTATTTTTAAATATTTAATTGTATATATATTGTGTTGAATCATGCAAAACAAATGAAAAAATGGAATAAAAAAATTTGCAAAATCAAAATTGAAAACAAAAATGATGAGAAACAATAAAAAAATAAAAATAAATAAAAATAGAGGAATTGGATTGGAATAGAATCATGGGGATGTGACTTTTTCAGGACTGTGACCCTTGGACTGTGTTTATGGACGGTGCCCTTTCGTTAAGGAGAATGGAAAACTTTGTTAAAAAGTTGTGAATGGAGTATGGTTGGTAGTGCAGAAGGAGAATGGACAAAATTTAAAATGTGGATTTGTGTTTGTGGATGGTGTCTCTTTGCCATGTTGAATGTTTATATGCTTCTATGTTTGCTTCTTTGTTTGAAAAATTATGGAATGCTCATTTTTAAGGGGAACCCATGCCAGATTTTTGTAAAAATGAACTTTTGCTTTGATTTTACATTCTATAAATGGCACTTTGGTATTTGTGTGAACTTGAATTGAAAAATTGAAATTGAAAAAGTGATTTAAAGTTAGATGAAGGAATTGAACCGAAAAAGAAAAAAAAAATGAAATTTGGGAAGCTATTTTGAAATTTCAATTTGTCAATGGAATTTAAAGTTTCTTGAATGGATTTGAAATTTGAATTTAATGAAATTGGAATGTTTGCTTTGGAATTTGAAATGGAAGCTTGTCAAAAAGGAATTGATTTGAAGTTCTTGAAGATTGAATTGAAAATGGATACTTTTTGAACTTGAATAATTCTTGAAAATTTTAAAGTTGCAATGGCATATGAAGTCAAATGTTGTGAGCATAATTCCGACTTGTTTCATTTATGTTGAATATGAAATGCATGTTATTTCTTTCCAAATTGTCTTAAATACATAAAAGCATGACTTGAATTGAAACTTGCTTTTGAAACTTGAAAATGCAATGTCTTGTTTAAATTGCATGAATGGATTTCAAATGGACCTTTTTGAAAGTTTTTTTTATCATAACTTGTTCTTTGCTCATGATTAAGGTGCATTGTTTGGAAAATTGATGCTTGAATGCTTAAATGCCTTTGTGATCACACTTGTTGGTTTCAAAATGTTAAAAAGGAATTTTTGAACTTTGTTTTGAAAATGAGAAGTCAAGTTGCTTAATTCCTTCCTTTGTCAACTTTTCAATGCATGATTCTTGTTATGAAACTTTTATACAATGCATTTGAATGTTTGGACCTCAAAGTTTTCAAAAATTCCAATTTTACCCCAAAAGTGTTGAAAATTCCAAAGTTAACCAATATGCCCTTGATTGAGTTGAAGTTTGTTCCATTGGTTTTCTTTTCATCCAAATGCATATGCTAAGTGCTATTGAACTTGTTTGTGCTCAATTCTTGATTCTTGCTATGTTCGGGTTATCATTTTTGACCTTAATTGCCATGATTTTGAACTTTCTTAGGAAATTTGTTGAATTGCCATTCCAACCAAACTTTTTGAAGTCAAATGTTCCAATGTTGCTTTATAAACTTGAAACTTGTCAAATGTGATCTTCTTTGAATAATTATGTGCATTTTGGAATACTTTGCAACTTGTTGCTTGTATATACACCTCTTGCACACACTTTTGTCACATTGATAGTTTTAACAGTTTTTGTCCATCCTTTGAACAAATCTTCTTAGAATTGATCTTTGAATAAGTTTGGGAGAAGGCAATGGATGTTTGGAGTTCAAAATGCATGATTGGGATGTCATTATTGTTCATTGGCTTTAGTACCTATTTGTGAGCATGCTTGAACTTTTAAACTGTCATTTGAAGTAAGTTTGGGAATATGTTGATCTCTCTTGAAATTTGTTTGTTAAATGCCATTTGCTTGATTCTATACACTTATGATCCATTTCTTGAAAGCTAGTAAGAGTTTGAGACCGAGTTTATTTGTCGGTCATGATTTTGATTCAAAAATGGTAAGTTTCTTGTATTCTCAGTCTTTGACCATTTTTTGTTTCATTTAAGCTTTAAAGGGGGTCGCGAGCCAAAAATGATCAATTTTCTGCTTATATATTGCTTAGAGGGGGTCACGAGCCATGAGTGATCATAGGATGTTGGTTTTGTTGAAATGGAGTACGAGATATTTCTTTAACTGGAGTTTGACTTTGATATTTGTGCATCATTTAGATACATGCCATGTAATTGCATACCATGTCCAGGATTCGTTTTTGAACTTGTGTATCATACCATGCCTAGGATTAAAGTGTTTTGCAACCGTGCAATTCACTTAGTCTTTATTTCATGATATACATGCTTCTTGAGTTCTAGGTAGACAATTGCTTTGATTGTATTCTACATGTTATCCTGCTTGCTCCATTGATCTTAAATGTTGAATTTGTAGACATTCTTGCTTAGGAATTGAAAAGATGTCATCCTACGGTCTACTTGCCATGAAAATGTAGAATCTTCTTGGGTTTTAGGTTTGTGAATACACGTTGCATCCTTTATGCACATCATATCCTATACTTACCTTTTTTTATCCCATTTTTGCTCAAGTGTTTCCAAAAGTGACTTTTCTGCCCTCTATGCCATCATTGCATTGTTTTGCCCACCTGAGATTACTTATTGTGCCATGATCTATTCTTGTCTAGTTAAAGCATATTGAATGATATTCTTGAAGCTTTCTTGATCACTTCTTGCCCAAGTATGTTCTTCTGTGACTATTCTCTGTTTCTACTTGATTCAAGCATGCTTTGTGTTCTCTTATCAGATGCTTACCTCGTTTTATATCTGTACATTGATTTATACTTGTTGCTTTTGCAGATGCAGTGTAGGCAGAAGACTCTTGCCAGAAAAAGAGTAGCCAGAGCTACACAGCCTCCTCCATCTCCTAAAGCTGAATCACCACCTTCGTCTGAGCGTACTGCATTTGCATCTGCATCTTCATCTTCCGAGCCATCTTTCATGGATGCATAGGGTCCTATTATCAGAGCAGTGCCCTCTTTCTTACTGCCGCAGGAAACTGGAGTTAGAGTTCAGATTTGACCGAGATTTGTTCTCCGGGTTGAAGCAGACACGATAGTCTTATGATGAGCTCACCTGCAGGGGCATCGATGTTATTATGACTCTGGCAGATACTGTAGTCTATCCTCGGTTGGTTTCTTTGTTTTTAGAGCATCTTCAGATGGATGAGGACGACTGGCAGTTGATGCATACGACCATTGATGGTCAGGACATTGACATTTCTATTCCTGCCATTGTTGCTGCTTGCCGATGCCCTCGTCTTTTTCCATTGGTCGTTGACTCTGAGGATCCACTGTACCCCATCATTCCATCTTACCCGGCTGAGATGACCATGGTTGTGACACTATCTCCACAAGCTACATTTGAAGGCAATACATTTGCAGACTGGGTTGATATTGATCCCCAATACTGGTTCTTAGATTCTGTGCTGCACCTCAATGCCTTTCCTTCAGGACATGGTATGCAGCGGCGAGATGGGATTCTACAGGCTCTATACTGTTTGAGCCAGGGTTATTGGATTTCTGTTCCTGCTCTCATTTAGGAGATTATTCACAAGTTCTAGGAAAATCTGATCTTCAAGCACAATTCTAGAGCTGATGCTTGGCCATTACCATTGGGCCACTTAATTACACAACTATTGATTGACCAGGACTATTCCTTTGACCCAGCTGAGATTCCAGAGACTGCCGCACAGTGAGCGAGGAGGGCATATGACATGGCGAATTGGACTAAGACCTTCAATGCCTGCACAAAGAATAAGAAAAATAGAAAGCAGAAAAGGGAGCGAGACCAGCAGAGAGTCGTAGAGGATGCAGCCGAGGGATCTCAGGGATCACCTCCTAGACAGAGGCGTCGCACTGATACTTCCACATCTACCTTGCAGCACTACCTCTCCCTACCCATTCATCTTAGCAGACCGGCCCCTCACATATCCCTTCTACAAAGAAGATGCCCTAGGTTGACACTCGATCCCATCATGCTAGTTCCAATTCCAGCTACAGAGTTGATCTACTTCAGCTGTATACAAATTTCATTTCTTTCAGAGCTGACATGACAGGGCGACACGATAACATTACGAGGCATCACGATGATTTGGTGAGGAGGCACGATGACTTAATCAGGCGATCTGACGATTTGACGACTGATATTTTCGAGGCGAGGAGAGATATTGCCACATTGAGGACAGACATTCAGACATCATTTACTCGATATAGCCGGGAGATGTCCAACATGCTCTGTAATACCCCGAAATTTTAAAGAATGTATTTAAATTAATTTTGTGTTAGGTTAATTAATTTTATTTATTTGTGCATACTACATTATTATATTAGGTTCATTTAATTGTGCATGTAAATTAATTGTGTATGTTAAAATAGTAAATTTGTTCATGTAAATATGCATGTATTATTTTTAATAATTTTATTTGTTGGTTATGCTTATATTAATCATTATTAGTTAAGTAAAGTATTATATTTGTGTTATATAGTATTATGATGATATAATGTATTATTTTGTAATAATAATAATTATATTAGTTTAATAATAATAATAATAATAATAATATTAATAATAATATAATAATAATAATTATAAAAGTTTTATTAATAATAATATTAGTAATAATAATATTAGTATTAAATCAAGGTAATGATGAAAAATTAAATACTAGGATAGAATTTCATTTACTATGGTAGAATGGTGGATCAAATATCTTGATTAAAGATAGCATTGTCTTAAAGCCATATAGGTAGGAGTATGAGAAATGGGTGAGAAGTTATTATAAATAAGATATTTGTAATATTTATATTATATATTTTGTGTATAAATTAACTAGCTTGCCTTAGAAAAAAATAAAGGGAGTTAGAAGCAAAGTATAAATTCTAGAGAGCTATTTTATAAGAGTGAAAGGAAAAGAGAAAGAGAAAGAAGCTTGGACCGGTGTAGGCAATTTTACCCGACTACGCGCAGGCCGGCGGATTTATTTTAAATCCAAAAAGGCAAGTTATTATCTACTTTTCCCCTTTGAATTAATAAATTAATTGTTTAGCTTAGTTTTATGCATAGAGTCAAGGTTTAGAGGTTAATAAATTATTAATTTTATTTTATTCAATTAATGGAATTTTAATTATATAGGATGGTATATATTTATTTAATGTCCTATGAAATTAATAATGGCTAAAAATAATTAAATAAGACTTTAGGGATTTTTCTAGAATTTTCTAGATTTTTCCGGGCATTTTCTGCACTTTCCGGCGACCTTCCGGCGAGTTTTCCGGTCGCCGGCAGTGGGGGAGACGACCGGAGTGATCCGGTGCAACGCGGCGCACCATAGGAGGGTGTACGCGCGCATCCTGGCCATTAGTGGAGTCTGATTGATCCGGTGCATCGCGGTCCATGATACCGCGGTACACCCGGATCTGTGGGCGTTGGATGGAGGGAAGATAGGGTGAGATGATCCGGTGTGACGCGAGTACGGAGTCCGGATGCAGCCAACCAACCAGGAAGTGACACGTCAGCAAGGCACCCTTAGTGCGCGCGTGGCAGCGCGTGCGCGCGCGTGGGAGCGCGTGGCTGATGCCAGACGCGCGTGGAGGCGCGTGGGAGAGTGGGGAAGGTTGGGCTGCGCGTGGGGAGGCTCTGGGAGGCGCGTGAGGGCGCGTGTGGGGTCCCTACAGCTGCTGGAAATTACCAGAATACCCCTAGGGCCTGTTTTGTAAATTCCAGAACCTTAAACTTGGATTTTTAGGTACTGTGTTGGTAATTACGGGTTTAACGGGCCACGAAATTATTATTTTAATACCCGTTACTTATTCTTATGGCCGATTAATCTTTTCTAAGCATTTATTGGCTCGTTCACAGTACAGATACTAATGTGATTTATTTAACGACATTGTTAAATATAAATAGTGTTATTATCGTATTTAATGGTATCAAACATTACTGTTAAATTAAATAAGGCCATGGTTTTAGTCAGATAAATTATCCATGATATCTTATAGGATGTTTATACTGTTAATTGATATATAAACCATGATTATTATGCTGTGTGCATTTCAGGAAATAAATGGACTGTTTAATTATGTCGCATTTATATTATATGGATGTGTTGCCATATAGAACCATATGAGCTGGCTGATAAGTTTAGACTCATTTATACCTTATGCATTCGTTGCGATAGACAGATGTGTGGCTGTCGGGGTATGTGGTTTAATATTATTGGCATGTGTTGCCTAATTGACATACTCGGTATATTTCTTAATATTGTTGGCATGTGTTGCCTAATTTATATGCTCAGTATATTCATCAGTACTTTGCGAGGTGTTATCACTGTGTAGTTCGTTATAGTCTGTGTTGTCAGTACCGTGCACCATGTATAATAGCTGATTTCCCGGGTAGGGAAAGGCGACACTTAACCACCTAGTGTGAGTCTAAGTGATCACCGTCTATTCTGGTTGAGGTCATGTTATACATCGGATAGTTCCCATAGGATGTATACAGATATAGTACTCATCCGATTCATAATGATTAATTTATTGGATTCTCTGATTTGGGTCATAGTAGAGAGGACTTGCTCGTGGGGTTGACCCACCATTGTTGTTATTTCAGGATACGGTCAGTATCCGTTTCAAGGCTGAGGTTAGCAGTGTGGGACTATCATCCGAACTCATCTACTCCTACGATCCAGTGCAGGGTAGAAGTTTTATGTAGTATTTCAGTTTCAGTTTTTATTTACTTTTGACGTTGAACTCTCAGGGTTATATTTAGGGATCCCTGACGTAGGATTTCCAAGTTGTAATGAAGTACTGTATTAAATAAAGGATGGATGGATGTTGTATTATTTAATATTTCTTTCCTGTCTAAATTCTTTTATTTCCATCATTTTGTATTCCATGCTTGTATATTGCCAATTGTTTTTGATATCCCTCGTTTTTCGTGTATAAGCCTGATCAACTTATGCGTGGAAAATGTGGGGGTGTTACAGTTGGTATCAGAGCATTCCAGGTTCGAGTGTCTTAGGGATCTGTGATTACTATACTTCCGCGTTGTGTATTCTGATAATTAGAGCCTAAGTATTAGGGTTCTTTGTATTCTTTTAGTCGGTCCATTATAATGTACTGACGTTAGATTTTTCTGAATTTAATAGAAGGATGTCTCGGCGTGGGACAAGGAATGCGAACCGTCATCGCAGTAATTCCCCAACTCAAAATGAGAATCAGGAATTTTCTCCTCAAGTTGCTGATATCATTGCACGAGCGGTGGCAGCAGGAGTAGCATCTGCTCTACGAAACCAGCAACCTCCTCCGATAGTACCTGTTCCTGAACCAGTGGCACAGCCAATGTCATGGGACAAAGTTCGTCACTCGTTCATCCGGGGAAATCCACCAACGTTTGCGGGGTCCACAGATGTCCTGTTAGCATATCAGTGGAAACAGGAGAGCGAGCGTCATCTTCGGATGGTAATCTGTACCGAAGTGCAGAAACAGATGCTGGCTACGTTTATGCTGATAGGCAATGCATTGCAGTGGTGGGAGTCTATTACTACTGTCGATGAGAGGACCAGATTGACGTATGCTGAATTTCAGACTCGCTTTGACGGCAAGTATTTTCCTATGTCAGTAAGATCAGCGATGAAGACCGAATTTCTGGATCTGCAACAGGAAGATATGACTGTGGCTGAGTATGAACAGAAGTTCATAAATTTGTCATTATTTGCACCAGAGGAGGTCAATACGGAAGAAAAGAAGAGAGACCGCTTTGTGAAGGGATTAATATGGCCGATTAAAGTGGTGATCTTAGGTAGTCCTGCATATACTACTTATATCCAGGTGGTTAATGCCGCCTTACAGCACTGCCAGATGAGGAGTGATTACCGGAAGTCCAAGGGAGATAAGCGGACTAACCGAGACTACCAGACAGGGGAGAAAGGAAGCAGCAGTGGTGCCAAGTCCAATGATCGGGGCAGATTTCAAGGACATCAACCTTGGAAGAAAAACAAAGGAAACCTAGATGTGCAGAGGGATGGAGTCCCTAATCAGGGTAGACAAGGTGGGATACCTCAGACCGGACAGGAACAGTGGTCGGGAAATCAACAGAGAAGGCAGGCAGGTCCTTTTACGGGACGTTGTTATCACTGTAGAGAGATTGGGCATCCGGCCAAGATGTGTCCCAAAGCTAAGCAGGGACAGTATGGGCAGCCGAGACCTAATCAGCCGTTACCTCTACCGGCCCCACCGATGCCACGTGGGCAAGTTCAGAATTTTCCGGCACTTCCAGCACCACCATTTCCTCCGGGACAACCTCCACAGCAGTTGCATAATGGCAGAGTTTATAACTTCATGTCACATAATGCGCAGGCTCCTCAGGCTATTGAGGGTATGTTTTCTATACATGGTAGAACTGCTCGTATACTGTTTGACACTGGTGCATCACATTCTTTTGTGTCTAGATCTTTTGTTATCTTATCTGGTATGACGACTCAGTTATGTGACCAACCTCTTAATATTTATACACCATTGGGAGTTGGCGCAATTTTACGAGAGTATAGCGGTGATATCCTTATAGATATGGGCCGACTTCGATTTCTTGCAAATTTGTTAGTGTTAGATATGCATTCGTATGATGTTATACTTGGGATGGACTGGTTATCTCAGTACCATGCTCAGGTTAACTGTTACGAAAAGTCTATTGGATTTTCTATACCAGGACAGGAGATGTATCTTCTTGTTGTACCACAACCTGATAGAGGGCCTAGCACTTATTTATTCGTTCTTGAGGAGGACTCACAGGAAGCGACTGCGGTATCTCTTGACAGCATCCCGGTAGTACAGGAATTCCAGGATGTATTCCAGGAAATTCCAGGCTTGCCACCGAGTCGAGAGATAGATTTCGTTATTGATTTAGCTCCAGGCACTACGCCTATTGCTAAGGCGCCGTACCGAATGGCACCAGTGGAGATGCGAGAGTTGAAAGATCAAATTCAACAGTTGCTCAGCCAGGGATTTATTCGCAGGAGTACTTCACCATGGGGAGCACCAGTACTGTTTGTAAAGAAGAAGGATGGATCTCTTCGTCTTTGTATTGATTACAGAGAACTGAACAAGGTCACTATTCGCAACAAGTACCCGTTGCCCAGAATTGATGACCTGTTTGATCAGTTGAAGGGAGCTACTTACTTCTCAAAGATCGATTTGAGGTCTGGTTATCATCAGCTACGAGTCAGAGAACAAGAT